GGTCTCTTCCAGCTCAGGATATTCTGTAAACCCCAGTGGGGTGTGCCTGGGGAGGGTTGGTCAGTCCCTGCTCCCCCGTGACCCTCGTGCTGCCCCACAGGACGCGCTGCGCAGCTCCGGCTCCGATGGCATGGGGCAGATCTCCCTGGAGTTCTACCAGAAGAAGAAATCCCGGTGGCCTTTCTCGGATGAGTGCATTCCCTGGGAGCTGTGGACCATCAAGGTGAACGTGGTGAACCTGGCCAACGAGCAGGAGCGGCAGATCTGCCGCGAGAAGGTGGGGGAGAAGCTCTGCGAGAAGATCATCAACATCGTGGAGGTGATGAACCGCCACGAGTACCTGCCCAAGATGCCCACCCAGTCCGAGGTGGACAATGTCTTTGACACCAGCCTGAAGGACGTGCAGCCCTACCTGTACAAGATCTCCTACCAGATCACGGACTCCCTGGGCACCTCGGTCACCACCACCATGCGCCGGCTCATCAAGGACACGCTGGCGCTGTAGGGCTGGTGGCACCCAGGCAGGGTCACCGTGGCACTTTTGGGGCAGTGACTCTGCTTGGATCCCCTCCTTCACCTCCAGAAAGCTTCTGGGAGGAGCTTGGCTTGGCCTAGCCTGTAATTTGGGGGTTGCTGCTCCTTGGTTTTGTCCATCCTGGAGAACTGGCTCAGTGGCTCCGGCCTGGCTGATGACTGGGGTGAGTCCTCAGGGCAAGGGTGGCACCAGCCCTGAGCGGTGCTGGGGCCTGGCAGAGGGTGCTGGGGGTCAGGGTGACACCCCACCCACCCCTCTGCAGCACACTTGGTGCCACACAGCCAGTGCTGGCCGTGTCCCTTATCACCACCTGTCCCCAGTGTCACTCCTGTCCCTGGGGGGCCAGAGCTGCCCCAAAAATAAAGAGTTTCTGCTTTCACACAGAGCCTGGTCATGTCCTGGCTGTGGGAGCCATGGGAGGGGGGAATGGATGCTGAGGCTGAGCTGGTGGTCCCTATCACATCCAAAACCAAGGGGCTGAGCTGGGGAGTCCCCATTGCTGTGGGGCTGAGCTGGGGGTCCCCAGTGTAATGGGGCTGAGCTGGGGGTC